GACTACACCATGAATATGGTCATTAACTGTTGCTGCTTAGAGAATCAAGTGGATCTGGGTTTCTGTTTTCTGGGAACTTTGTTAAAGCTTGGGTTTGTGCCTAATGTTACCACTTTTGTCACATTACTCAAGGGTCTGTTTCGACAACATAGAATTTCTGACGCAGAAGAATTGTTCAGAAAGATAATATATGAAAGATTGTGTCAACCTAGTGTGGTTATGTTTGGAACCGTGATAGACGGGCTATCCAAGGTCGGGAACACAGAGAAAGCTATAGAATTTCTACAGCACATGGAAAGTGGAGATACTAAACCCAACACTATCATCTCCAACACCATTATTGATGCCCCCGCAAGGATACGATGACTAATCAAGCTCTTACTCTATTAGATGAGATGATTGAAAAGGGCATCGCTCCAAATGTTGTCACTTACTACTGCTTGATACGTGGTTTCTGTAATTTATGCAAATGGGAGGAGGCCAAAAACTTATGGACTAAGATGTTATGTTTCGGGATTGCTCCAAATGTAGTCACTTATACTATCTTGATGGATTCATTTTCCAGGGGAGGATTAATGAAAGGTGCGAATGCAGTATTTGCAGTTATGATTAGGAGACATGTGATGCCTGATATAGTCACATATAATTCGTTGATGGAAGGCTACTCTTTACAGGGCCAAATGGATAAGGCAAATAGAGTTTTTTATGCAACGGTTTCTGATGGATTCGTTCCCAACATCATTCCCTACAATATTTTAACCCATGGTTACTTTAAAGCCAAGAAGTTTGAGCAGGCCATGCGTTTGTTCTTGGATATTCCATGTAAGGGATTACTTCCTTCAATTAAAACTTATGCCATTCTCTTGCAGGGATTGTTTCAATCAAGGAGGTGTGATATTGCAAAACAAATTTTCAATGAAATGCAACTCAGTGGCCTGAAACCTGATTTTCACATTTGGTGTGTGATGCTGGATGGTGTTTGTAAGAATGAATTTGTTGATGAAGCATTGTTGTTATTGAGGAAGATGGAAAGGGATGGACAAGAGCTACATGTAGCTAGGTATACTATTATCGTTGATGGATTCTGTAAAAGCAGGAGACTTGATGAAGCATGGGATATGTTTAACAGTATATGTCTTAAAGGATTTGATACTGATGTCACAACATATACTGTAATGATTGATGGTCTATGCATGTAAAGGTTACTAGAGGAAGCAAAAGGGCTCTTTGATCAGATGGAAGCAAATGGTTGTTGGGCAGATGAAGGGACCTACAATGTAATGATCCGAGGTTTTCTCAATGGAGGTAAATATGATGATGTAATGTTTTATCTTGAAGAAATAGATAAGAAAGGATTTACTTTGGATCCACCTAACTGATTGGATGTATTAGATTTAATCTGCAAGCAAGAAGTAGTTGTTTCCCACACTAATGTGCTTCAGAAGCTGATTCTGAGTAGGGAAAAGCCAAAAGCTATGAATGTAGAGTAACTCGGTTTTTGGGAACTCATTGAGCTTTGTCTAATCTCTGATGCCTTCAAAGCTAAGGATGACATTATGCTTTCTTCTCCCAGTGAGCTCAAGGACTTGGAATCTTCAAAAGACTTAATCAAGCACTTATATGTCTCAATGAACCTTGGGCGTGCCTAACTGGCAATGCTGCTGGATGAAAGGCAGAGGGAATAATGATCCGGCAATAACATTATGAAACTGGTCCTCAGAGCACCGGAAAATGCTGTGGTTATTCCAACGCCTTTGTACTTACGACTCCAATTGCTGCCAATCCGGCAAATCGGTAAGCTCCTCCGGAAAATGTAATGCGTTACCTGAGAAAGTTTGTTATTGATCTTCGCATAAGTTCATTCATTTTCATTTAATTTCCCTCTTTCAAATTGTTCCTCATCACAAAACATAAATCTAATTGTACATCAAACACGACTTCGTTTTTGCGTTCCTACTTTCCTCCCCCACCCATCCATCACACAGGGATGGAAACAGAGTTTTGTTTTTCTTCATTCAATTTTAAGTGGGTTTATCGCCTTTTATTAATGGTTGTTATGCTCTACTTGAACTTCTCTCTTGTCAACAATGTGTTAGTCCAGAGAAGTGAGAGATGTACTACCTACGTCTCAAACAAACAGTCTACATTGAGTTTTGAGATTTGTACTCCCTCCGTCCCATAATTATTGTCCACTTTGCCAAAAAAATTTTGTCCCAAAATTATTGTCCAATTTGACCTTTTATGGATCAAGTTACACATTTATCCTTAATAAAAAACATTATCCATAAAATCTTAGTGGTTAAACAATTACTTATGTAGGAGTATATCCGGTTGTGTAAGGTAAAATATAGTTAAGTTTGACCAAAAATAAAATCTTTCATTTTAGTAAAACTAGACAATAATTATGGAACGGAGGGAGTACTAGTTTTAGTATAAATTTGAAAGTTCAATGTGAACTATTTTTGTGGGACGAAAATAGCACAAAATTTATCTAACCTTTTAAATTTTTTTTTGCCAAATTTTTTCTACTCGCCGATATCCCAGATGGTTACACCTTTACTATTCAACTTAGCCATCTAAAGAGGTGACTAATGCATTATGAAAGCGAAAATATAAATTGGAAATCATCTTCCAAAATGAAAATAAAACACATTAGGGTAAACTAGAAATTATATCGGAATGGATAAAGTACTAAAAATATTTTTTTAAAAGAAAATCTCAAAACTTAATGTGAACTATGTTTTAAAGGAGGGATTTAAGTTCATCATCTGCTTCTGGCCATAATATCCACGGAACGTTTTAATTTAGAGATTTGGGAGAAGAGGACTTGTAACTTTCGCATTTATTTTTCGAGTGCTATAAGCACATGACCCCACACCCTGGTATTACTGCTGGAAAACATGATGAATTTCTTTTACAATGTTATTAATTCATAAGAGTATCAACAAAGTTTTGTAATCAATCAATGCAAAGAATGTGTTTTTCCCAAAAATGAGATAAAGATCTTTATTATAAATTATTTTGATTTGTCTTAAACATAACTTTATTTATTTTTTTTAATTGAAAAAAAATCTTAAAATTATTTTCTAACAATTTATAGAATACAATGAATGTGACAACGTATTTTTGAAATTTGTTTTTTAATCGAAAAAAATATTACGTAAAATTTAAGATAAATGAAAATGCCTCAATAAGGACCAAAGGGAGTACTATATCCCATTCAAAAACACATTTATCTCTTCATCTTCATGATCATACCGTCATAAGCGAACTATTTAGTCCAATTCCTGAACAAACAAAGATAGGATAGTGATTCATCTGGACATATATCTATCATGAAATCGACAACAGTAACTATTAATCTTTTTACTTTTATTAGTGAATTTGCTTAATTAATTTCAAGGTCTATCGGTATGTTGGTAGCTTCAACAAATTTGGTGGCAAATTAAGAATTATTCATAAACTTTGGGGGTCGATGAAAAAAAAAAAAACTAAATAAAAGAGCTTTGCATTTTCCCAAGCCTACACAACAGAGCTAACCTCCTACCTTCTCCGCCGGCAAAATTATCCTTCCGCCTTCACCGCCGGCAGCTTCCTGATGGCTTTAGTTCAGAGATTTATGGACTAGCTCTTTTGCTGGTAGAAGAACCCTTTCGTTCAGAGTTGAAGATGAAATTGGAAATGGGAACCCATTCTTAAATATTTTGTACCAAATGCAGCGGGGGACTGGTGAGTTTGATCCTTGTGGTTCTCGATTCTGGCTGCATAGATTGATTTTTATTGCGGAAACGGAGTCAGTGTTGAATTTTGGATGGAATTAGCAGATTTGAATTTTTATGCAAGCAGCTTATAGTGAGCTCCTAAGTAACCCATCCAATTTTAGAGTGTTTGTATTGAATGGGTGTTTCGTTTGATTCTGCTTTACTCTTATTCTCCTTGTCCATTTTGATTTACTTTTTTTAAATTTTTTTTTTTCTACATAATCGTAGTATTGAATCGAATGTTTATTATGTGCAGCCAAGGAGTAGCGCCCCCTCTGTGTGTTTAGGTGCAGTTTAGCTCTCACTGGCATCTCAGAAAAATTCACAATGAGAAATGGAAGAAGTTTTAGTTATGGATTTGCTTCGGTTGCTCTGTCTCCTATTCTTAAATCATTATCGACTTCGTCCTGTTCTGTAACTGCTGTTGCTGCTGGTGTAAGATCTCTAAAATTCAATTCTCATCCTCCATATCCTTATCTCAATTCCCCATTTGGCTTTCATTATTCTACGACAATCACTATTGGTGAGAGGTCTTATAAGAACCCTTATAAATCTGAGCATGGTTGGTTGAAGAATGATATCAGTAAAATTAACAATCTTGATGATGCTTGGGATTTGTACATTCAGATGGTCCGATTGAGACCTCTACCTACTGTGTTTCAGTTCGCTCAATTGCTTGGACGCATTGTTCAGATGAACCATTATAAGGCTGTCATTTCCCTTTACAGTGATATGTGTGTCAAGCGTGCGCCAATTAATGAGTACACCATGAGTATAGTCATTAACTGTTTCTGCTTAGAGAATCAAGTGGATCTGGGTTTCTCTTTGTTGGGAACTTTGTTAAAGAGTGGGTTTGTGCCTAATGCCATCACCTTTGGCACATTACTCAAGGGACTTTTTCGACAACATAGGATTTCCGAGGCAGAAAAATTGTTTACAAAAATAATATATGAAAGATTGTGTCAACCCAATGTGGTGATGTTTGGAACCGTGATAGACGGGCTATCTAAGGTTGGGAACACAGAGAAAGCTATAGAATTTCTACGGCACATGGAAAGTGGAGATACTAAACCCGACACTATCATCTACAACACCATTATTGATGCCCTCTGCAAGGATAGGATGACTGATCAAGCTCTTACTCTCTTCCATGAGATGATTGATAAGGGAATCGCTCCAGATGTGGTCACTTATAACTCCTTGATACATGGCTTCTGTAATTTATGCGACTGGAATGAGGCCAAAAAGTTATGGACGAAGATGAGATATTTCGGGATTGCTCCAGATGTAGTCACTTATAATATCTTCATTGATTCATTTTCCAAGGGAGGGTTGATGAAAGATGCAAATGCCGTATTTGCAGTCATGATTAGGCGAGGTGAGACTCCTGACATATTGACTCACTGTTCATTGATGGAAGGATACTCTTTGCAGGGCCAAATAGTTAAGGCGAGAAGAGTTTTTGATGCAATGGTTGCCGTTGGATTCGTTACTGACATCATTCCCTACAATATTTTAATCCATGGTTACTTTAAAGTCAGGAAGTCCGAGGAGGCCATGCGTTTGTTCCTAAATATGCCATGTAAGGGATTACATCCTTCAATTGTTACTTACACCATTCTCTTGCAGGGATTGTTTCAATCAGGGAGGTGTGACATTGCAAAACAAATTTTCAGTGAGATGCTACTTAGCACCCTCAAACCTAATTTTTATACATGGTGTGTAATGCTTGATGGTCTTTGTAAGAGTGGACATGTTGACGACGCATTGTTGTTATTACTGAAGATGGAAAGGGATGGAGAAGTGCTACATGTAGCTATGTATAATATTATTATTGATGGATTCTGTAAAAGTGGAAGCCTTGATAGAGCACGGGATATGTTTAGTAGTTTATCTCTTAAAGGATTTGACCCTGATGTTACAACGTATAACACGATGATAGATGGTCTATGCATGAAAACTTTACTAGTGGAAGCAAAAACCCTCTTTGACCAAATGGAAGCAAATGGTTGTTTGGCAGATGAGATTACCTACAATATAATGCTCCGAGGATTTCTCAAGGGAGGTAAATATGATGATGCAATGGTTTATCTTGAAGAAATGGATAAGAAAAGATTTACTTTGGACCCACCTAACTTATTGGATGTATTAGATTTAATTTGCAAGCAAGAAATAGATGTTTCTCATAATATGCTGCAGAAGTTGGTTTCGAGTGGGGAAGAAATGTCGAAAGCTGCGACTGTAACGCGGGTTTTTGGAACTGGTTGAACTTTGGCTAATCTCTGATGCTTTTAAAGCCAAGGGTGACATTCTGCTTTCTTCTCCAGATCCGTTCCCAGAACTTGCCTAGCCTTTGCTTCAGATCCCCTGTTCTTGCTTAGCTTTTCGGGATGAAATTGGGGGGGGGGGGAGGACTGTATGTAAGTAATGTGGATGCGAATTATGCAACGAATTCATCACCCCAAAGTCTTAATCTTGATGTTGATCTCTTCAGCAACATTCCCGATTATTTCTGCAACTTTTCATCCCTGCAATTTTTACACTTTTCCAACAATAAGCTCACAGGAGTGTTTACTTTGTGCTTTGGAAACAATTTCTTTGGGAAGCTTCCATCATCACTGAGAAACTTGTCCTCATTACTGGTACTTGATCTTAGTGGAAATCAACTTAGCCTCATACCAGAATGGTTTGGCGAAGAATGAATGATCACAGTTACGGAACCTTACACTTAAATCAAGCAACTTCCAGGGTACGGTGCCATTATCATTTAAGAACTTGAAAGAATTCATTGCACTTGATCTTAGTGATAAATCAATTCAGCGGGACAATCCCAGATTGGACTGGCGAAGAGTTATCACATTTGTATGATCCTAAACTTCAGTCAGAACAATTTTTACGGTAACATTCCTATCCAGCTCTGGCAGTTGCCAAACCTTCGAATTCTGAGATTGGCCGACAACTACCTAACTGGAGACATTCCAGACTGTTTTAATGGTTAGATTGTGACCAAATTTCGACAATGAATAAGACAGAGAGCACGTTTTTAGGATGATGTCAAAGAATTGAAGACTTAAAAAAGTTTGTCTATTTTTGGATACTAAGAGTCTAAGACCAAATCTTTGTATGACAGCAGCAGGCAGCGGCAGCCCCTTTCATCCAAAAGAAGAGAACTAAAATAATACTTCCTCCATCCCATAATTATTGTCCACTTTGCCTAAAAAATTTTATCCTATAATTATTGTCCACTTTGACTTTTTATGGATCAAGTTACATATTTGTTCTTAGTAAAAAACATTATCCATAAAGTCTTAATGGTTAACAATTACTTATGTAGGGGTATATCCCGTTGTTTAAGGTGAAATATAATTAAGTTTGACCAAAAATAAAATATTTTATTTTAGTAAAACTAGACAATAATTATGGGACGGAGGGAGTAACAACATTCGACTCTTTCATACAATCTTGTTCGACGTAAGCAGTCCCTTTCACTAATTATTTTATTGCTCTTTTAATCAAGTCCAATAATTCATATTCATAATGTGATTTTCAATATTTCATATATTTAGTTTGAAGTTTGAACCAGTTTTAAGGGCAATTAACGCAGAAAGAAATGATTCTGATAAAGAGTAATTAAGTTTACATTAATTAAAGTACCGTAAACAACCTAGCGTTGTTATCCTTGGAACATTATAATAGCCCTGGATAACTTGTACTTTCTGCCTAAAATAATTGTGCAATATAATTTTTCGCTTTCATTACAATTTTATTAAAAATGAAAATAGAACTGGGACAATCCATTACGAGACGAAGAGAATGTCCCTTCCGTTTTCTACTTTTACCCCCTAAGTCATATGTATCCTTGTTTTAGATTCAATTGATCGAGATTCAGAAAATGAGTTATAGCCTTAGATTAGTTTCATTATGGTGTTTATAATTCATCCTAAATAGACTTCACTGACGATTAACTTAGCAATTCATCACCCTCTAATATTATCAAGGCACAATGTATTGCCCTTGTGTTGGGTGTTTCATGTTTTTCTTTTTTTTTTTTCTAATATTTTTTTTTAATGTAATGCATACATGATCATGGTAATGAATGGAAAATAAAACTATAGTAAACATTAAATACGATTCATTTATGTGCTGTAAGAGATTCATGAAACAATTTTATTTTATTTTTTTAGGAAAGGAGATAAAGGGCAAGCTTTAACCTGATTTTGCCAATACATATTTCTCAACTTCATTAAATTTACATAATTAGTTCAAATCCTAACATTGTCTCTTTAATTACATCTCAAGTGAGATAAATGTCTTCGGAGCTGATTGAGAAGGGTGCTGATTCCTTCATCAAAAAAAAGGGTGCTAATGTCTGTTTTCAAATTGTAAAATGAATCGGTCAAAGAGTTAAAAGTATAACCTTTGTCGAATGCATTATTCAGGACCGATGAGATTGAAGAAAAGCCACATGTGAAATTGTTTGTTTCCTTCAACTTGCATTTGCTTACCTCAAATTTTGTCAGATACCTTCTTATTAAATCAATGTCAAACCAGCTGACAGCTAGCCGCCTGTCCCAAAAATTAGAAGATTAAATAACTAATGTGTTAAAAAAAAATCTTCTCGTGCGCAGAAACAGTGTATATTTAGGAAGTTCATGGTTTATTTAAACAGATTGGTTTTCAGAAAATTTCCATCAGTTGCATTCAGCAGCAACAACAACAAAGATCAGACCCAAAAAAAAAAAAATGAAGAAATTATCAGAATTAGTGTTCATTCCTCTGCCTGCAATTGGGCATTTGCCTTCTGCATTGCAGTTGGCAAAGCTTCTTGTGACTCGAGATGAACATCTCTCAATCAGAATCCTTCTCATCATCAAAGATGCATCTGTTGAATCCTGCATCACCTCATTTGTTTACCCGGAAAATGTTTCCCGAGGCCGCATTCAGTTCACCGAGGTCCCGGAACCACAAGCCAATAATGGCGGCTCTTCAGGGGAACAACCTGATGATGAGGAAGAGCTTGATTTCTTCTTCTTCCTTTTTAAGTTGATGGAGAGCCGTAAGACCCAAGTTAGAGATCTGGTGTCCGGACTAATCGAGTCGAGTTCAAGTACTAAAATCGTGGGATTTGTTGTGGATATGTTGAGCAGTAACATGGTGGATGTGGCTAACGAATTCGGGCTTCCGACTTATTGCTACTACACATCTGCTGCTGCCAGTATAGGCTTATGGAGCCGTCTCCAGAGTCTTGAGAATGAAGACGGGGTTGACATAACCAAGTACAGAGATTCCGACATCGAAATTTCTGTCCTGACTTATGCCAACCCTGTCCCTGCTAAACTATTTCCTTCAGCATCATTTTACAAACAGAGTTTAGCCTTGTGTCTCAAAATCACTGACAAGATGATGGAAACAAAAGGGATCATCGTCAATACCTTCCCTGATTTGGAATCCTACGCGCTGAATTCACTCGCTCGCGAAAATAAGATGCCGCGTGTTTACCCGATTGGACCCCTGATTAACTTTGATGGAATCAATGTTACTGATCATCAGGATCAGGAGACAAATGCTGTAATGGAATGGCTTGATGATCAGCCTGATTCATCTGTTGTTTTTCTTTGCTTTGGGAGTGGTGGCTTCTTCGATGGCAAACAATTGAAGGAGATCGCCAATGCATTAGAACAGAGCGGATATAAATTCTTGTGGTCACTAAGGAGGCCTCCATCGCTCAAAGATTATGGCATGGATGAAACTGACAGCGAATTTCATGACCAGATCTTGCCTGAAGGATTCTTACAGCGTACTTGTGGCATCGGGAAAGTCATCGGATGGGCGCCACAGATCAAAGTATTAGGCCATCCGGCGATTGGAGGGTTCGTAACACATTGTGGATGGAATTCGATTCTCGAAAGCATTTGGTTCGGGGTACCAATGGCAGTTTGGCCACTGTACGCTGAGCAACAATCAAATGCGTTTTTGTTGGCTAAATGTTTGGGTATGGCAGTAGAGATTAAGGTGGATTACACCGTTGATCCCTTCAGCAGTAATTATGAAATTGTCAGAGCAGATGAAATTGCAAAAGGGATTAGGAAGCTGATGCAATTACCAGCTGGAAGTGAAACAAGGAAGAAGGTGAAAGGGCTAATGCAGAAATGTAGAAATGCCATAGCTGATGATGGTGGTTCTTCTTACATTTGCCTGGAAAGTTTCTTGAATGATTTACATGGCCATGTTCATTGACGACTTTCACAAGGTCCCTCCTCTGATCTGTATGGAAAGTCATTTTATTTCGACTTTTTTTTTTGTTTTATTACATAAGAATGTAACAAAAATATTTTCCAGATTGGGATGATTGAATTTTACTTTTGGATTGTCATAATTCTTTGATGAGAAGCTGACAGGAGTTATTCCTTTGTGGTTGGGGAACTTGAGAGAACTTTTGGCTCTGCATTTGGGTGGAAACAAGTTCTTTGGGGAGTTTCCATCATCACTGAGGAAATTGACCTCATTTTTACTGGTACTTGATCTCGGTGGAAATCAGTTTAGCCTCAAAACCAGAATGTTTAGCCAGTTTCCAGAACTTCGAATTCTGAGATTGGCAGGCCGACAACAACCTAACTGGAGACATTCCAGACTGCTTTAATCGTTAGTGTGTGATCAAATTTCGTACTTGTAAGTTTTTATGATGTTTCAAGATGCATTGATGGCAATCAATTTCTTTGACAAACATTTTTTTTATGTCTAATGTCACATAAATGCTAAGGTGTAGTTTGGGAGGCAAATCCATTAATTTGATAAAGCTGTGATTAAAAAGGGAAAAAGAAAAGAAATCGAAACTACTATATATATTTTGAGTTTTGACAATGAAAAAGACAGAGAGCACTTTTTTAAGACGATGTCAAAGAATTGAACTTTAAAAAGTTTGTCTATTTTTGGATGCTAAGACCAAATCTTTGTATGACAGCAGCAGCAGCGGCAGCCCCTTTCATCCAAAAGAAGAGAGCTAAAATAATAAATACTTCCTCGATCCCACAAAAATAGCCCACATTGAGTTTTGATTTTTGTAGTACAAATTTAAAAATTCAATGTGGACTATTTTTTTTGGGATGGAGGTAGTAACAAAAATAGACTCTTCCACGCAATCTTGTTTGACAAAAGCAGTCCCTTTCACCAATTATTTTCATTGCTCTTTTAATCAAGTCCAATAATTCTTATTCATTATGCGATTTTCAACATTTTATAGATTTAGTTTGAAATTTTGAACCAGTTTTAAGGGCAAATAACACAAAGAAATAATTCCGTTAAAAGGGTAACTAAATTTACATTAATTAAAAATGAAACCCTGAACAACTTAGTGCCATTATCTTTGGAAAAATTAGTGGGT